AATAATAACTTTTATTAATATTAATTTTTTTATAACATTAATTATTTTAAAAAAATCAAATTTAACAATATTTTTGAAAATTTAATTTATTCCACAATAATGATATAGTATACAACATCTAGTACATTTAATTATGTTTGATGTATTTGAAATTTTAATTAATATATATTCAACATTAGTCTTGTTTCGATCGTCTCAACGAGATCTTTAAAATGATATAATTTATATTTAATAATACAAACTTTAAACATAAATATTTAAAAAAATAAAAAATTACATATAAAACAAATAAATGATACATTTGAAATTAGAAAAAGAAGCAAGGACAAAAAGGTAATTTTTCTCCCCATTCTCCATTGCTGTGGATGAACAGTGCCGCGACACTATTCATTAACGCCAAAAAGAATGACTTTATGCAGGGATGACGTCTCCCTTTGGAGTACGCAAATTTGCAGATTTGATGTTTTGGCTTTGAATTATGGCGTTTTGCAGCTCCGTTGGAGATATTATATTATTTAAAATTATTCAATGTTATTTTTTTAATATAATATGTATTTTTAATAACATATTATTTGAATTGAAATTTTATAATTATTAATTAAATTAACTTTTGTCATGTTTAATTTTAAAAATATAATAATTATAATTATAATTATAACTTTAATATTTTGAATTATAATAAAAAAAAATTAGAATATATTTTTTTGTAAATTGATTGGTCTAGACAAGACTTGGAAAAAAAAAAAAAAAAACTCAGACAAGACTTGGAAAAAAAAAAAAAAAAACTCAGACAAGACTTCGGAAATCTACAATTGACTGAGATAGTGGAGGTTAATGGGTTAAATTTCGAGACCCATAAAAAATTGCAAATAAAAATGTAAAAAAGGAAATATGAATCTACTACCTATACTCTCTATTTCTATTTTTTTACATTTTTCTTCTTTTTTTTTAAACCTTTCTTACATTTTTCTTCCAATGTGATAATTGATAATTAGTTATCTTCATCTTGTGAGTCTCAATACAAAATATTAATATTGAAATTTTATAAATATGAGTAAAAATAAAGTACTCCATAAAATTTAAGAGTAAACATAGTATTTTTTTTAAAAAAAAACGACTTGCTCATCAGATTGACTCTTTGTGCTTCATTGGGTTGAGAAAATATGTTTGAACATATACTATAATGTAATAGAGTGTAACATTTAAAGAAAAAAAAAAAAAACAATTCGTATAACTTAAAAATCAATTATTTGAGCTACTAAGAAGATAATATCGTGCGAAAAGCTACAAAAATCACTAGCTCAAATAATTGAGGAAATGTCGCAATGATGACTATTGATGTATTCTGGCTTAGGGGCCCCCCTAAATTATTCGCGTAATTGTGCCAATCCAGTCGCATAATAGTCAACATTATCGGTGTATATTTGAAGATTTATGTCAGATTAAATATCTTAAATTGGGGTTAAATTAGAGGGCAAATTATTGTATGAACCATGGTCCATACAATGTTATGTGGACTATAACAAAAAATATATTTTTAATGTATTAAATGTACATTATTTTTGTATTATATGTACATTATACAATATAATGTACACTCATAATAAAAATAATGTACATTCCTTAAATATAATGTACATTATTTTTATACTGAATATACATTATTTTTGTACTGAATGTACATTATTTTACAATAAACAAAATAGGAATAAGGGTCAAATAGGCCACTGAACTGCACACAAGAATGCAATTAGGCCACTGAACCTAAAAATCTACAATTGGGTCCCTAAACTAACCAATTTCATTCAATTTGTCCATTTTCAGGTTTCTCAAGTTGCTAACAAGTTACCCCTCCACTTAGGATGCATGTGTGGCATTTAAAAAAAAAAAATTTAATTTTTTTTTTGAAAACCTTAAATTAATTTTTTTAATGTTTAATAAATAAAAATTAAAATAATTTATTTTTAAATTAATTTTTTTAATGTTTAATAAATAAAAACTAAAATAATTTGTTTTTTTTTTTAAATAAAATCCAAGCCATGTACGACGTTTTAACAAATTATTTTATTTTCAAAAAAAAAAATTATTTTAGTTTTTATTTATTAAACATTAAAAAAACTAATTTAAAAATAAATTATTTTAGTTTTTATTTATTAAATATTAAAAAAACTAATTTAAAAATAAATTATTTTTTAAAAAATGACACATATGCATCCTAGGTGGAGGGGTAACTTGTTAGCAACTTGATAAACTTGAAAAATGGACAAATTGAATAAAATTGGTTAGTTTAGGGACCCAATTGTAGATTTTTTAAGTTCAATGGCCTAATTGCATTCTCGTGTGCAGTTCAGTAGCCTATTTGACCCTTATTCCTACAAAATATGGTCCATACAACTTGTGTGGACCAATAATGATTGTAAACTAGAGTGGTAGGGGTTATTTATCCTGCAAGTATTGCATAATTGTGGGGTCCAGTAAAAAAATTAAATGATTGCATTAATAACAGTAGGTGCGCGGAGCTGCGCGCCTAGCAGGCGGAAAATGACTGTGATTTTTTTTTTTTTAATTTTTTTAAGTCAAAATATATTTTATATTTAATTTTTCTGTTTCTCCTACATTTTTTTATCTTTCTTAATCACTCTTACAAAAACCACTCAATAATCGCACCGGGATTAAACTAATGTGAATGCTCTAATATGAAATTTCAAATTTTACTCTTTTATTTTTATTACTAGTTTTTTACGCGCATTACGCGATTGGGATAATGCCCAATGTTTTTTTTTTAAAATAAGTACTTTAAAGTATATCAACGCAAGATTATATGGAATTATTCATGCATAGATAATTGAATGTTAAATTTGGCTATTTAAATAGACAATTCTAAGTTTACAAATGCAAGATAATATAGTCAAATGACTGATTATAATTGTCAATAAAATAATTGTATAAGTATGGTAGAAATCAAATACGGAACATAATGGAAAACAAATAAAAATTATGGCATAAAATATTGAATATATACTAATATTGGGGAGATAACTGCGGATTGCCAAACATGGACATTGCTAGATAGTTTTCCACTTCAATTTGTTGTGTGATTTGAATACTCTTTTGTCAATAAATCCCCCAAGTAGTTAATATGATTGGCTTAATTATATATTTTTATTTTTTTATTATTTTTTTAAAACAATTATTATTATTATTATTATTATTATTATTATTATTATTATTATTATTATTATTATTATTATTATTATTATTATTATTATTATTATTATTATGTATACGCTTAGGTCATTTTACATGTTAATCTAAACAACTAATTTTTTCAAATATCTTTTTACCAACCGTTGATATAATTCGGTGGTCAAATTCGCTAATATAATCCGCTAACGCTAACCGTTAAATACTGATTGTCAAACAAGAACATTGCGAGGTAGTTCTCACTTCAATTTGTTGTGTGATTTGAATACTCTCTTTGTCAACAAATTAAATCTCTCAAGTAGTTAATATGATTGGCTTTATTAATTATATATATATTTTTTAATTTTTTCATGGTATTAATAAAATACTTGGTAAATAAATATATAACATTATTTTGTATTATAACTTTGATATTTAATTAAAAAATAGTGCACAAAAAAGATAATAGACAATGTAATGAATATAATCTATTGATGAATTTGAATGTAAAGAACTTTTACATTGGAGAAATATAAAGACAATATAATTAATAAAATTATTTCTCTTAATTAATTTATTGATAATGAATAATTTTTTTTAATAAAGATATTGTAGGGACAATGTATAGAATATAATCAATTGATGAATTTGAATGTAAAGAATTTTTATATTGGAAAAATAAATACAATATAACTAATGAAATTATTTCTCTTATTTAATTTATTGATAATGAATAATTTTTTTTGAATAAAGACATTGTAGACACATAATTCTAAATTAAAGAAATGCATATGTATTATTTTTTGTTGTAGCTAATAAATTATTATTTATAATAATTTAATAAGAGTAAAATAGAGTACTAATTATGCCAACTTTGATTGGGATGGGATTCGAACCTATGACCTTTCTTATTGAAATCAATGAGTAAGTTAACGGTGAACTAACAGAAATTAACGGAAAAGATAATATTTAACGGAAAAGTTAACGGATAATCATATTCATTAAGGATAAATTAGTAAATCTTAAAGAAAAATTAAAATCTGATCAATCTGAGCCATTCATTTGAAACCTTTCTTACATTTTTCTTCCAATGTGATAATTGATAATTAGTTATCTTCATCTTGTGAGTCTCAATACAAAATATTAATATTGAAATTTTATAAAAATGAGTAAAAATAAAGTACTCCATAAAATTTAAGAGTAAACATAGTATTTTTTTTTTTAAAAAAACGACTTGCTCATTAGGTTGACTCTTTGTGCTTCATTGGGTTGAAAAAATATGTTTGAATATATACTACAATGTAATAGAGTCAGTAACATTATAAAAAAAAAAAAAAAACAATTCGCATAACTTAAAATCAATTATTTGAGCTACTAAGAAGATAATATCGTGCGAAAAGCTACAAAAATCACTAGCTCAAATAATTGAGGAAATGTCGCAATGATGACTATTGATGTATTCTGGCTTAGGGGCCCCCCTAAATTATTCGCGTAATTGTGCCAATCCAGTCGCATAATAGTCAACATTATCGGTGTATATTTGAAGATTTATGTCAGATTAAATATCTTAAATTGGGGTTAAACTAGAGGGCAAATTATTGTATGGACCATGGTCCATACAATATTATGTAAACTATAACAAAAAGTACATTTTTAATATATTAAATGTACATTATTTTTGTATTGTATGTACATTATTCAATATAATGTACACTCATAATAAAAATAATGTACATTCCCTGAATACCACTTGTTGGTGTTCTGCGTATCCTTTTTCTTTTCGCTAATCAGCGATCATCTGCCTTTAGTTAGTTTTTATGATTAGCTTGATTTGGAACTGTCAAGGGGCGGCGTCGGGAGCATTTCGCCGCACCTTCAACCAGTTTGTTAGGTTGCATAAACCAGCCATAGTCTGCCTCTTAGAACCAAAGGTGTCAGGAAGCCAGGCAAATGGCATTTGTTCATGTTTTGGTTTTTCTGAATGGGTTAGGATAGAGGCTATTGGGTTTTCCGGGGGAATTTGGGTTTTATGGAAAAGCTATCTGACTATAGATATCATACAAACACACCCTCAATTTCTGTTATTGGAGGTTAAGGAAGCTAATTCTGACCCCTAGCTCTTGTCGGTTGTTTATGGCAGCCCCAACATGCAATTGCGCAGGAAGCTATTTGCAGATTTATCTAGTCAAGATCTTGGTTTGCAAGGACCTTGGTTATCGGTAGGAGATTTCAACTCGGTCTTAAAGAAGGAGGAAGTAAGCAACTCGGACACATTCAATACAGCAAGGTGCACTGACTTCTCCGATTGGATCTTTAGAGAAGGTTTAATCGATCTCGGCTTTACGGGGTCACCCTTCACCTGGATGAGAGGTATTAATACAACAACCTTCAAAGGGGCAAGATTGGATAGAGCTCTAGCAAATGGGGATTGGAGGATAAGATTCCCGGAAGCGCGAGTAGAGCATCTCCCGATGATAGCCTCCGATCACTGCCCGCTACTGATAGACACATGTGCTTCTTCCTTATAGCATCCGCCTATTCGCAGCAGTTTTAAGTTCAATCTTGCCTGGACCAAACACTCAAATTTTCAGGATTTTATAAAGCAATCATGGAAATCAGATGACGACTTTGAAGGATGTAAAGCAACCATGGCAACTGCATTACAACTATGGAACAAAAATGTTTTCGGGAATAATATTCCATCGCAAAAACCGAGTTCTAGCAAGGCTAAGAGGGGTACAAAGCAGCTTGTGCAGAAAAGCTACTGCTAACCTCTTACGTTTGGACAAGAAATTACGATTGGAGTTGAAGGAGATCCTCTATCAAGAAGAGATCCTTTGGTTCCAAAAATCAAGAGAGGAATGGATTACGTCAGGCGATCGGAACACTCACTATTACCACACTGCCACGATGATAAAGAACAGTAACAGGAAAAGCTATAAATTAAAAGATGAGACTGGAGCATGGATTCCAGACGATGGGCTAACTGGAATTCACGTGAGAAATTACTACAAAGAATTATATTCAGAAGATCCAAATAATCAAGGTCATTATTGCCCGAAAGGTTATTTCCCTCCACTGAATGCTTCTGAGCAGCCTGAGCTTGATAATCCCTTCACAACACTGGAAGTCAAGCGAGCTTTGTTCGAAATGGAACCTTGTAAGGCCCCAGGTCCAAATGGTTTTAATGCCGCGTTCTACCAAAATACGTGGAATACAGTTGGTTCCTCCTTAACCAAGTTTGCACTGGGGTTTTTCAAAGAAGGCAAGTTACCAGATCAAAGCAACGACACCTTAATCACTTTAATCCCGAAGGTCGACTCTCCAGAAACTATTAAGTAATTCCGTCCGAACTAGAATCTGAAGCCAGCGGGAAGTTTACAATCAACTCGGCCTATGAACTAGAATCTGTTCAAACTTCATCTCTCTATGCGGCGAAATGGAATAACATCTGGAAGTTAAAGGTACCTAACCGAATCTGCTTCTTTCTATGGTTAGCTAGACATGAAAAGATAATGACGAATGTCAATAGGATGAGAACAGGATTCACAAGTTGTGATAAATGTTGGCACTGCATGAATCTAATCGAAGACACCGAACATGTATTGAGAACCTGCCCATTAGCACAGGAGGTATGGATGATCGTTTCCCCCCAACATTACAAGGACAATGCATGCAAAGCCTTCCCAGATTGGATGGACTCCGGCATTAAAGGGACTACTAGCAGATGTCTGACCAGCAACAATTCCCTGTTCGCCCTCACATGCTGGTGGTTGTGGAAATGGCGAAACGACGCCATCTTTAATAATGTTTTCCACCCTATTACCTATAAGATAGCATGGATTAATGCCCAGCTTGAAAATGTTGTCACGACATTCTCTAAAACTGCAGGGATTAGGTGTTCCCAGGATACCCCTAGCTGGGGCCTTAAGAAGTGGGTAAAACCTCTCCAAGGTTGTGTCAAAATCAATATAGACGCTTCGGTGGACTTAAACACAGGAAAGGCTGGAGGGGGAGGAGTCATGAGAGATTGCAACGGACTATGGCTTGGTGGTTTCACACTGGGAATTGATATTTGTTCGCCACTAGTAGCCGAGGCCTGGGCCCTATTAAAAGGCATTCAGTTTGGGACATCAAAAGGGCTGTCCAACTTGGACATTGAAAGTGACTCCAAAGATTTAGTATTGGGCATCAATGAAGGCAGGACAAGCAATGTCATAGTGCAGAATATCCTCAGTGCATGTAGGAGGGAACTAAATAATATCACAGACTGGAAAGTCTCTTTAATTCTCTGGGAGCAGAATGGTGTAGCTGATAGACTAGCTGCGATTGCCAGAAATTCACCAAAAGGCATCCACCTGCTTGATGCACCAGTACAAGAGATTAGAAATGTTCTAGAGGATGACAGCGAAGGCATTTCAGCTTGGCGTCTCATAGCCTAAGCATTTGTAATTCTGAGTTACTGTTTGGGTCTCCCCCTTCCACTTAATATAAAAAAAAAAATGAGAATAATGCAGAAAAGATGCATGTGATGGAAGACTCATGAGAGGTAGGCTCCAAGTCTCGAAAAGCCAGTGTACTAGAGCAACAAGACGTGCACCTCTCACATTATATTTTCCTAGATTTTCAACTTTGTTTGTCTAATCATCTCATTTGAATGGTTGAAATAATTTCATGAGAATTTTTATTTTATTTTTTATCCTCAATTGTTTTTGTAATTGTCAATTTAGTCTCTAATTTTTAATTTGAACAAATTTGATCATCAAATTGTTTTAAATTTGTCAATTAAACACCCATTTGACACTATTCTGTCAATCAACTGACGATAGACTTTTCTGTGGTAAATTATGGATAAGGGAAAATATAATTACTACTGACCAAAGACTTAAGAGCTTCCCTAATAGTGGTTTTATTATGGTGTTTGAGAAAAAAGATAGATGATGTGAATGAGAGAGTGTGAAGAGAGAGATAGGGTGAGGTTCTCCAGCAAATATGAGGTTTTTGACAGTGAGTGAGCCCCACCGTGACTCCATAAGGAGAAGAGATGCGCCTCACAATGCCAGTCGGGCGTGTAAATATGTTTTTTTTTTTTTTTTTCAGATTTTAATTTTGTTTTTTTTTTATTATTATTTTTTAAGCACACTTACCAGACTTCTTGAGGATGTTTTAATTAATTCAAGTATATAGACTTTTCAAAGAGCTTTAATTTGATTGTGTCTGATCAGAATGCAAAAAAGATGCATGTGATGTAGGGACGTAGGGTCCAAGTCCGTACTACAGCAACTGGCGCAAGTTGGAGCAACAAGACAAATGATGATTTGCACCTCTCACATATTGGCATTCACAGATCTTATCGTATCTGATCTGCTCTAAATATCTGGAAGAATAGAATTTGCACCTCTCACATATCACTTGCATAATTGCATTTCCTATGTCTTCACTCCGAGAGAGAGAGAGCTGAGAGCAATGACGATAGTGGTGGACAAAGTGCTAGAGGATCAGGTAGCCCAGGGAGTAAACGCGTTGGTACAAACTGTAGCATACAATGTGAAGTTGGTTCGTGGCATAAATTCTGATATAAAGGATCTCACCTCCGACATCGAAATCTTTAGCGCCAGGCTTTTAGAAGCTTCCAAGAACTCATGGGCAACTGATCACCAGGTTTTGAGAGTTGTTGTCAAAAATTTCAGAAATGTTGTGAATGAAGCCCAGGATACGATTGCCGACTACTTTGCACTGAAGGGGAAGCATGTAATGTCTTCTCAAAATCTTGGGATAAGATTCCATTTTGTGGAAAGATCAATAAATTAGCGAGCCAGATCCAGTCCATAAGGGCTAACCTGGCTAAGATTCGGCTAGAGCACGGACAAGAACTTCTACACCTCATGACGTACAAAATCAATGAACAAAACAAGGCTCTGCTAACTCTCCAGGTACGTACCAAGCATAATAAGTACAGTTATCCTCCTATTATATATATTTCAAATTTAATTATTGGTTTAAGCAATTAAAATATATACTTGATCATGTTGTATCACATGATCGAATTTATGGGATAATTATATTGATGGGTAAGTTGCGCAGATTATGCTTTAGAAAGTGTTAGTTGTAGAAAGGCAAGGCTTGAGATTTCTGGTAGATAAGAAGAAATGAATTGTGGGGTACAGTGTGTTAATTAGGCTTAGAGATTCTTAAGTAGTTTATATATAGCAATTCCAACAGTTGATTTTTCTCCAGTTTTTGTGGGCCAAACATTCTATGCTCTTCTGATCTTATAGCAAAAGCTAAGCAAGACTTACCATGGATTTGGATCCACCTTGCAGGTAAAAAAGATGAGGATATGAATTATGTGTTGTATTCAATACCAAAGTTTGAGGATACAAATATAAAGATACGAAATAGAGTTCTAGTCTAACTCAAATACTATAGTCCTAATACTCCCCTTCAAGCACAAGGTTGGCTAGCCAAAACATTGAGCTTGCGGTGGAGTAAATTAAAACGTAAAGATGAAAGAGGTTTAGTAAAAATGTCTGGCAGCTGACCTTTAGTTGATATAAAATGGACCTACAACTCCTTTTTAGCCACCTTATCACGAACGAAGTAGTAATCAATCTCAATGTGCTTCGTGCGAGCATGAAACACTAGATTGACACATAAATAAGTAGCCCTCAAATTGTCAAACCACAGCTTGGGCGGCGAGACAGGAGGAAAACCGATCTCCTTCATCAAGGAAACCAACCAGGTTACCTCCGCGGATACATTAGCCAATCCCTTGTACTTTGCTTCAGTTGAGGAGTGCGACACAGTCCGCTGCTTCCGGCATACTCAAGAAATAAGATTGCCACCCAAGAACACAGCAAAACCACTAGTCGACTTTCGATCATCCGGATTACCAGCCCAATCCGAATCAGAGTAAGCATGAATATCAAGAGAACTAGAACGAGATATACGAAGACCAAGATGCAAAGTCCCATTGACATACCTCAAAACTCTCTTGAGAGCGGCCCAGTCTGTAGTAGTAGGTGCATACATGTGCTGACACAGACGATTAACCGCATAGGACAAATCTGGACGGGTGACCGTAAGGTATTGAAGGGAACCAGCCAGACTACGATACTGCGTGGGATCAGCATAGGGAACGGGAGTCTCGTCCGTGAGCTTAGCTGATGAAACCGGCGTGGCCACGGGCTTGCAATCAACCATACCAGCTCGTTTTAGAATATCCGTCATGTAGCGCTGTTGCGACAAAAGCATTCCACCAGAGAGCGGGACAGTCTCAATGCCCAAAAGAAAGGATGGAACCCCCATATCACGAACTTTGAACTCCGAAGCCAATTTATTAACAAGACCAACCACACGATCCGAGTCAGAGCCCATAACTAAGATGTCATCCACATAAACCAGAAAATAAAGCTAGATATTATCACGGGAATAAATAAAGAAAGAGACATCAGTTTTAGAGGGCGAGAAACCAACTGCAACCAAAAAGTCGTGTAACTGTGTAAACCAGGCACGAGGCGCTTGTTTCAAACCTTAAAGAAATCCCTGAAGCAGGCACACATGATCATGCAACGTCTTGTCTTCATAACTGGGTGGTTGTCGCATAAAAATAGTCTCAGCCAGATTGCCATTCAAAAAGGTATTATGAATGTCTAATTTCCGAATAGCCCAACCACGAGAGACAACCAAGGATAAGAGAAGACGTACCGTAGTGGGCTTAACCACAGGACTAAAAGTTTCAAAGAAGTCATCTCTAGCGACCTGATTAAAACCCTTTGTAACCAGCCGAGCTTTATGCCACTCAATCGGACCATCAACTTTTCTCTTGGTTCGGAATACCCACTTGTAGCCTACAACATTCATACCTGATTTATATGGGACAAATCGCCACGTATTATTATGAACCAAGGCATTGAATTCCAAATCCATTGCATCGCGCCACATAGGAAACTTGACCGCCTGAGAGTAGTAAGTGGGTTCGGGAGCAGCGGTAGTAACTAGAGCAACATGATCATAAAGCCCTATACTCCGTGTAGCCATAACATGTGACCGGGGTTGCAAAGCTGCTGCCGCCCGGCGTCCTCGGTTTCGTGGCAAACGTTGCTGCCATCGGCTAGCTGGTCTAAGGCGGTGTGCTCGCTGGACACCGATACCGCAGCATGCCCAGCCGAGCCATCATCCACAGTACGCTGCCTAGTAGCACCATCAACCGGAAACGCCACATCCTGAGCGACGGGCACCGGTGCAGCAGCCCACGGGTCCAATTGTGGTGGATCAACCTGAGACACAACAAGAGAAACAAAGGGAAAACCTGTCTCATCGAATCGCACGTGGTGACAGATAAAAATCTTATTAGTGTTAGTGTCCAAACAACGATAGCTACAAAAAGACGGAGGATACCCTAGAAAGACACAAGGAGACGACCGAAACTATAATTTGTTACGATTATAAGGATGTAACACAGAAAACATAAGCACCCAAACACCCGCAAGTGAGAATAATAGGGAGGAGAACGATGTAAGCGAGAATGATGAGACTCATCAGCTAGAACACGGGAAGGCATTTTGTTAATTAAGTACACTATGGTCTCAAACGCGTAGTCTTAAAAACGAGATGGGTTAAACGCCTGAGCCATTAACGCTAGACCCGTCTCAACAACATGGCGATGCTTGGGCTCTACCCGGCCGTTCTGCTCGTGAGTATACGCACAAGACTGCCTGTGATGAATACCCAGAGAATCCAGTGTAAACCAAGCTTTTTATACTCTCCCCCTAAATCAGACTGAAAGAAAATAATCTTGCGAGAAAAGGATCGTTCAACAAGTGACCGAAACCTATCGAAAGTAGCATATAACTTAGACTTAGCACGCATAATATAATACCACATAAAACGTGTATAATCATCCACAAACAATACAAAATATTTAAAGCCATTAACAGAAAGTAATGGAACAAGGCCCTAAATATAAGAATAAATTAATTCCAAAGGCTACGTAGTAGCAGTTTCAACACGAGATAAAGGAAAACGAGACAACTTTCCCAATATAAGAATAAATTAATTCCAAAGGCTACGTAGTAGCAGTTTCAACACGAGATAAAGGAAAACGAGACAACTTTCCCAATTGACAAGACGAACAAATATTGGGAAGGTCACTAGAATTAAATTTACTAACCGGTGAAGATTCTAAAATTTGACGCATGACTCTTGAATGAGGATAACCAAACCGCATATGCCAAACAAAAGACGAACATGCGGCAATAAAAGCAGCAGGAGCTGGACACGGAGTGGGCCAGACCTAAAGCCTCCAGACGCATGCCCTTTAAAAAAAAAACCTTCCTGGTCGTAATGTCCGTCACATAGAAACACAAATGATGAAATTCAAAGAAAAGATTATTATCTTTAGCAAAACACTAAAAAGACAATAAAGAAGAAGAGAGATTAGGGACATGCAAGACATCACACATTCTAAAAGGCTTAGAATCAATGGTTAACGAAGCAGAACGAACATTAATGATAGGCAAACATGTACCATTGCCGACCTGTAGAGTCTCCGGGCCATCATAACTTGTCGCGGAAGTCATCAGAGAGGAATCAGGTGTAGCATGATTCGTGGCACCAGTGTCAGGGAACCACTGATGAGGGCCACCTGAATTAATGTCATCACCGGAAACAACCACATTTGCCTGGGGTGGTAGAGAGGTCGAAAAACGTTGATAACACAAAAAAGCAATGTGGCCATGCTTATTGCAAATTGACACCGCGGTCAGGAATTCGAGCGCCCACGACCATGCCCCCTATTCCCTCTGCCGCGACCACCACAGCCACGCTGTTACTGACCACCCCAACCGCCACCGCGCTGCTACGAAGCACCGCGTCTACCATGGCTCGCAGTCATAGCGGCCGGTGCACCGAGACCAACACCGTCATCCGCACAAATCCACTCCTGCGACACCAAGAAGTCTGCCACCTTGGTCAACGGAACAGGAGCATCTCGCGTCAAAGTTGCCACTAACGGATGAAACTCAGGGCGCAAGACACGAAAGACATACAAGCTTTGATCGTCCAACGCGACCTGCCGGCCTGCAACTCACCGAACAGTCGCAAGGCCCGAGCCCTCGTCGAAGAATCGAGAGCATATTCGATGGCGAGCCATAGCTTCCTCGACGTAGTCAGGCCAACTGCTAGGGGAAAAGTTTCTTCCGAAAGCGACGAGATGAGGACCGACAAGATGGCCTTGTCTTGGCGTCTCCACAGGAGCTGTTGCGACGAGAGCTCCGAAGCAACCACCGCCACACCACTGTTCGCGGTTGAGGCAGCCGTCGGCGGGGAAGACAGATACTGCACCGTGTCGTCAACATAGCCAAGAAGGCCCTGACCTTCCAAAAACTCCAAGAACGGTAGCACCTACGTCCTCCAGAACAAGAAATTGCGAGTGGTCAGTTTGAGGGAGACAAAGTGATGAGCCGATGAAAGGCTGTTGCCAACGGGAACAGGCGGAGCCTCGATAACTGTCCGTTCAGAAGAGTCGCGAACAGAACCGTCATCATTAACACTGAGAGCTACCATGAGAGAAAACCTGGAAGCTGATATCATATGAGGATTGGAATTGTGTGTTGTATTCAATACCAAAGTCTGAGGATACAAATATAAAGATACGAAATAGAGTTCTAGTCTAACTCAAGTACTATAGTCCTAATAAAAAAAATACACAATTTACATACGGAATATTCACAATTTATATACTGAATGTTCAAAATTCAAATTGTGAACATTCAGTATGTAAATTGTGAACATTTAGTATGTAAAATTGTGAGCATTCAGTATATAAATTTCAAGCATTCAGTACGTAAATTGTATATTTTTAAACCTAAATCCACCTTGCAAGATAGACCAGAGTCCATATAATAATTTGCCAAAGCCAAGCTAGACAATAATGGGCCGGGTGTGTTCTTTATTACTTTCATTATATTAATTTGTTTTGAATGAAATAATATGTTTTCATCATTTTAATAAAAATCAGTTACATCCCATTTTTTTAGTACTATCGACTCGATTACAAGGTAGTATTCACATACTTTCTATATCTATTGTAGCCTAAAGAGTCTAATCCTATAATCGTCCCTCAAGGAAAGTCACATAAATACCGACTGAGCACAAGCTTAAGGTGCTTGACAAATTAGTTACAATATGTCCTTAAATTCATCAGTAGGTTAAAACTGAATTATATATATATATATATATATATATATATATATATATATATATATATATATATATATATATATATATAGAGAGAGAGAGAGAGAGGTGTTCTAAAGTAAAATTATAACTTGTTCAAATAAAAAGATGGTTTGAGCATTTGAAGAGTACACAGTACATACTAATAATGACTTGGAAGTGATCGAACTTAATTGAATATTTGTATTTATCACCTTAATTGTTGCGATGTATTGAAATTGAGAGGGAAAAGAAGAATTTTTTCTTATTGAGCTTAACAACAGCAGTCAACAACTTATGTACAAAGTGAGAGAGGGAAAGCAAATGACAGAGAGATAACAGAATGTAACTGCCAAAAAGTCTAAGATTATGACAAGTGGCAACAGCATCTTGCAGCATCATATATTCCTAAAATTAATTAACACTTGGTTAGTATAGATTTTTAATCATCCTTCTTCAATTATTTAGGTTCGACCAACAGTAGACAAAGACAAGGTATTTGGATTTGAAAATGATTTGAAGACCATAAAGGATTTCATAGAGGCATCATCCAATAATTTTATTGTCATCCCAATTGTGGGGATAACTGGGTCTGGAAAAACCATAATTGCCTCGATGATTTTTGAGGATCAATGCACTCACAAAAAATTCGAAAAGTATATTTGGGTTCATGTTTCACACGATTTTGATAGAAAGCAAAAATTCATTGACATCCTCTATCAAATTACCAGTGGTACAAAGGACATTAGTATGATGACTAAAGAAGGGTTGGCACGTGAAATATGTGAACTTCTAAAGAATCAAAAGTACTTTGTTGTATTGGATGATGTACGAAAAAAACAAGATTGGGATTCTTTTAAAGTTGTATTTCCTACAAACTTGAAAGGGAGTACGGTGTTGGTGACCTCCCCATATGGCAATGTAGTTGATTCTAATTGGAAATCTCATAATTTAGAAAATTTAAGCAATGAGGATGGTTGGTTGCTCTTGAAAAATAGTGCTTTTGGTACAGAGGAATGCAACGAGAAATCATTAGAAAATGTGGGGAAAGAAATAGCAAATAAATGTAATGGATTACCACTAGTTTTAGTAGCGGTCGGCGGTATGCTACAACGTAGGGATATTGTTGACTGGCAACGGGTTGCTGAAAATCCTTTTTTAGAAATTAATCGAGAAGGTCAAATCTACCGTGACCGAGTAAAGATGAGTTACAATGATTTGCCTCATGAGGAGCTGAAAAATTGCTTCTTATATTTTGCATGTTTTCCCCTGGGACATGAGATTGTTGTTTGGAAGTTAATTCGTTTGTGGATTGTTGAAGAATTCATTCCAGCAAAAGATGAGCAAGGGTATGTTTTAGATGCAGAAGTTGAAGCCAAAAAATATTTGAATGATCTTGTGGATAGAAATCTTGTGAGGGTGGTGAAACGAAGAAGAAATGGGCAAATAAAAATTTGTTGTATCCACAACACATTACATGAGTTTTGCAAAAGTGAAGCTGCAAGGATAAATTTATTCCATGTAATGGATGGGGGGCAAAGATTAGATGAGAATACTTCTTCAACTCCTCATGAGAATACTTCTTTAAATCGTCGTCTTTGTTTCCACTCCTTTACTAAAACAAAATTTGATGAGCTCATCAAATCCTACAACCAAGAGAGGATTTTCCCATTTGGCAGACATATCCATTCTTTGTTCTTGTTTTCCTCTCAAAAGGGTGAGACTCATTTTACACAAGAGAAATTATTAGAAATCATAGCAAACACCTTTCCACTTCTTAGGGTGTTGAACATTGAATTCTCGAACAAGTTAACGTTGCAAAGGAATGAGCTTTTTAACTTACATCTCCTTAGGTATCTTGCCATCAAAGGCAATAATCTCGATTCTCTCCCCAAATCATTCAAAAATCTTCATGGATTGGAGACTTTAGTGATCGAGACCACAGCAAGGGAACTACAAATTGATGAAGGCATATGGAGCATGAAAAGGTTAAGGCATTTACACACCAACACCTCTATGCAATTACCCTTTCCTCCAAAAAGAAGCACAACTGACTCTGGAGGAAAAAACATCCGCACACTTTCTACAATATTGCCAAGAAGTTGCACAGAAGATATCTTTCGAAAGACCCCCAATCTCCAAAAATTATATGTTCGTGGGGATTTATCAGAATTTCTAAATGAATCAAAAAGTAGTTGTGTCTTTTTCGAAAAGCTAAAATGCCTTGAAAACTTGAAGCTCTATGGCAAGAGTGATAAAGTGTTAACGTTCCCAAGGAGGGTCGAGCAAGCACCTAGGCTAAAAAAGTTGACCTTCTCCGGCACAGTATTTAATTGGAAAGACATGTCCATATTGGGGAAGTTGGAGGAGCTTGAGGTGCTCAAGTTGGATGACTATGCATTCAAGGGAGAGGTTTGTGATCTAAATAGTATTGTTTTCAAACGGCTTCAATATTTACGCATTGGAAGGACGAACCTAGTAACTTGGAAGGCCACACAAAATAGCTTCCCAGCTTTACAACGTCTAGTCCTTCGAAAATGTAGCTCCCTAAAAAGTATTCCAGAAGCTTTTGCTAATGTTTATACCCTTGAGGTGATGGAATTGGTTGACATGAGTGAAAGTGCTGTTCAGTCTGCGAAAGAGGTCAAAGAAAAGCTCAGAAACTGTGGATTCCAGCTCCAGCTCCAGCTCGACATAACCTCTAAAATGGTAATTCTCTATCTTCCCCATTTACTCCGTATTATATTTTAGTTAATTAACAGTATTTGTTGATGAAATACTTTAATATTTCATTTATAGGCATGATTATAAGTCACATGAGGTGAACCTTTATGATGGGGTAAAAAACATTTTTCATATTAAAATAAGGGTCCGTTTGGAAATCCGAAAAATGATTTGTGGGAGTAGTAGGAAAATTCAGTCAACGGAAAATATTTTTGTTGACTGGGGAAAATGTATGCGTTTTTGCGGAAAATGACTTATGCCAAATTTTGGCGTAAGTCATTTTTCGCCAACACTCAAAACATGGTTGCCTTCGTTGTCGTCGTTGCTTTTGATTCCTCAGTTTCCATCCATTTCAATATTTTTCAAAATGCAACCAAACTCTAGGAAGGAAAATAAATCATTTTCAGGAAAACATTTTTCAAAAGTCATTTTTCTGTTTTCCAAACGGACCCTAATAGTCAATATAATAAATTGAAATTAAAATTATCTTTTTTCAATTAAAATAACATATACTACTATTCTTTAATTAAGATTATCTTTTTTCCTCCTTTTCTCATTTTTACTTGTTTTTTTTTCTGTTGTTTTTCCTTTTTCTTTTCTCTCTTTTTTTTTTTTTTTTTTTTTTTTTTTTTTTTTTTTTTTCACCTTCTCCCTTCCTTTGTAAAATATATATTTTTATCTCATTCATTCATATAGTACAATATTTATTTTATTTTATTAAATTTTTTTCAAATTTATTAGTAATATATACATTTTTTTTTGTCATTTAACCCTTATAAGATTTTTTTAACATTTAATTTTACTAGAAACTTTTTTTTTTTTTGAAAGAATTTTACTAGAAACTTTTTAACATTTAATTTTATCGAACACATGTACCTTCAATTAGTTAATTTAATAGATTTTAACTTTTATCTAATCAACTAATTTAACTAACCTTGTGGTCTAAATGTCTAATGGCATCTGGGTTGGAGTGAGTTTGAGCCTCAGTTACTACATTTTAATAGAGTCAGTAGCATTAAAAAACAAAATAAATTAATTTTTAGCTTTTAGCTAACTTTTCAGTTGGACATATATACCATAAAGAGCCTTCATCTAATAGTCATTTCCTTTGTTACATTTACTTGTCTTATTTGTTGGTTAAACGAACTCATTTTTCTTTGTTTATTTTCTTTAATATTTGCATATCATTTTTAAATTTATTTTTTTAATATTAAATAGTACTTTTGATGTAGTTTATAAATATATAAACATCATTTATTGGTAATATAAAATTTAATTTTATGAAAAATTAAATTTGAATAATTCCAGTGGAACATTATTAGGTAAACTAGAGCCATGAAATGGGACATATTTAATTTTTGAAGAAAAATAATTTAAAAGTTACAGTTTTAAAACCATAAAAATAAAAATATAAAACCCAACATTTACGTACATCTCTAACTCTCAGATATCAAATACATTTCTTAATTCTTCAGGGAGAGGGATCCATGATGGCAGGCATGGACACAAGCATAGATACGCTAAAAGTGGTGGTTGAATATGCAGAGTCGAGCTTTGGGTTTCCTGACTTATATTCGGAGTTAAAGGATTTGAGCTTAGATATCGAAATGTTTTATGCCAGGCTCCAAGAAGCTTACAAGAACTCAATTCGACCTGTCAATGTTTTCACAGTGAAAAACTTCCAAATTATTCTGAATGAAGCCAATGATGCGGCTTTCAATTACTGGTCCCTGACGAGGGAGTATGACCACAAAACCCCCACAAAGTTTTGGCCACGCATTGGAAGAAATGTTAAATCTTGTGCGAGTAAGATCCAGTCTGTTAAGTCAAAGGTGAAAATAATTCGCCAACAATATGAAATTGATCTTCAATCCCTCACCATCAACCGGAACAATAATGTTCTGCTAACTCACCAGGTACCACAAAACTATTGTTAAATTATCATATTTCAAAGTAATGTTACCTACCCCTCCAATCTTCCCCTCCTTATGGCATTTCTTAATTAGGCAAATAACATTATTTTTAATTAATAGTAGGGACACTCAATAATTATTAGCCACATCATGAGGGAAATATTAGGGATAAAATTTGGAGGGGTAAATACATAGCATTTTCCTTTCAAATGAGTTTGTTTCAGCAAACTCATATTCGGTTAATTGTATATATGTAATTGAATAAACTTGATAGATTCTGGTCATCTGAGAAAAATAATCCTATCTCTGTAGGGTGTGATTTACTTGATATTATGAAATTAGATTCCAATTTTAGAGAATATTTTTTTAAAAAGTAAATGAGCTATGATAAATTAGATTAAAGTAGTTTATAGATTTGTATATATATATGATGAGCATGTTCACACTAGCTATATCGCTTTCAATTTTGTATTTCTTCACAGATAGAGAGACCAATAGGCTTTGACAAAGTGATAGAGGAAGCAGAGGAGGCGGTAAAGATGATAGTCCAAACTGTAAAAAACAATGTCAACCTGGTTTCTGACGTTACTATGAAGTCTGAGATTGAGGAAATGACCTCTCAAATCAAAACGTTTACTGAGAACTTGTCGGTAGCTTGCAAGAACCCACTGGCCAATCAACACCGTGTTTTGAGAGTAATAGTAAAAAAATTCCGAACACTTGTGAATGAAGTTAGGGATGCGGTTGCAAAGTACTTTGCACACGAGAAGAAGAATGCCTTGGCAAAAGCTTTTGATAAGATTCAACGACTTTGTGGAAAGCTCAATAATGTTGCGAGTGAGATCCAGTCCATTAAGAAAAAAGTAAAAACCCTTAGCAAAGACCACGAAGAAGACCTTCAACACCTCCAGGAGGACTACAACAAACGTAGTAGTGATCTGCCACTTCCCAAGGTACCAAAAAATCTATTCCCAAATTATCATATTTCAAATTATTTGTTTCAATAATTGCAATACAAGGTCACATATTCGCTTATATCAATATGGAATTTACGTGCAAGTTCGGCAGACTTTAATTTTATAATAAACCTCGTTTATTAAAAAAATGATCTTGAACAATAAACCTCTATTCCCCTATGAGTCACCATGAAGCCCAAGAACGTAACTTTCCCCCTCTTACCGTGAAAGCGCACTTCTTCGGGTTTAGGCGCAGGTTGTGCTGTTTCATGATTTCAAAGCATCGTGCCAAGTACTGGGTGGATGCCTGCTTCCTTGCTTTTGACGAGTATATCATCGACGTATGCCTCCATTATATTACCCAATAGGTCTTTGAATAACTCATCTACCATTCGGGTGAAGGTGGCTCTCGAATTTTTCAATCCAAAAGCCATCACTCGGTAGCATTATACACCATCTGACGTCACGAAGGCCATTTTCACCTCATCCTCATCCGGCATGAATATCTGGTGATACACCTTGAAAGCGTCCATGAAGCTCAAGAGTTCACACCAAGCCGTTTCGTCTACCAATTGATCAGTGTGGGGCAACGAGAACGGATCCTAGGGGCATGCATTGTTCAAATCTATGTAGTTGACGCACATTCGCCATGTCAGCGCTTCGGGGCCAAGACTACGTTAGCCAACCATTCCAGGTTCATCGCCTCCCAGCTGATATGGCTGATGGATAACAATGTCTCTGATCTACCTCCTCCTTCACGAATATCCTTTGATCAGCAGATAGGTGTCGGCGCTTTTGCTTAACTGGTCTGTGGGTAGGGTCTACTGCCAGTTGATGCGTGATTATTGATCGGTCTATTCCGGGCATATCTTCGGGCCCCCAGGCGAACACTATCGCGTACCTTCTCAAGACCTGGATAATTTCCTCCCGAAGCTCCATCGTCAGACCCATTCCCTATCTTGACCTTCTGGTCCTGGTGGGAAGGGTCTAGCGCTACCTCATCTAGCTCTACGGCGAGTTCCGGACCCTTCCTCAATTGCTCTTTTTCCAAACCTTTCTCCACGGTGATCACGGGTGATTGCCCCTCCCCAAATTTTTGGCAGTTTTTTCTGTGACATTCACGAGCCAACTGTTAGTGCCCATAAACTGCCCCAATTCCGTTTGGGGTGTGGAACTTCAGGCACAAGTGTTTCATCGACATGATTCCTCCCACATCTGTTCACCCCGGTCTCCCCAGGATGATGTTGTGGGCGTAGGTTATCCTGATGATCATGAAGTTCATCTCTACCTATCGCACATTCGGGGGGGCTAGTTCCACGGGCAATTGTATGGACCCCTTAGTCCTGATGGTGTCCCTAGTAAATCCGACAAGCAGAGTTTTAATGGGGCGGAGCTGACCCTGGGCGAGGCCCAGCTTCTTGAAGACTTCGTGATACATTACGTTCACACTGCTCCCAGTATCCACTAGGACTCGCCTCACCAACATCCTGTTTACCCCCATCGAGATGACCATATCATCTTTGGGCGAGGCATTCTTGCTTGGGAGGTGATCATCTGAAAAGGTAATGTTTTCCCTTCACTGCTTCTTTGGGGCGGGTGTTTCCCCTATCGACCCCACATACTCTTTCCCCCCTCTCGCGAGGAGCCACCCTCTGAAGATCATGTTTACGATGGGGGGCCTGCTTCTGTCGTCGGCTTCCTTCGCGGGTCCCCTTACTTGTTTCGTCATCTGGGCTAGAGCACTCCCACCCTCGAAGGAGGGCGGGGTCTCCCCTGCTCCTTCGCTGGCTTTGCTGGGTGATGACATGTTTTGCGGCTCGACCGTTCTGGTGTACTTGGGTTTGTACGATGACTGATAGAGACTAGGAATACATGCTTCTCGCAGTGATCCTCACAGACGGCGCCAATGATGGTTTTCGGGACCGGGTCCACCATAAACTAGGTATAGGAAATATATAATGATACCATTATTATTGGGGCGTGAGGTCTAATACGAACGCGTACAAAGCCCAACGGTCACAAGCCCGAAATAACGGCCCAAAGACTAAATAACTAAATAATCAAAAGTCTAGGGGGTAAATATAATAGAATAAGGAATTGAGGGACTAGTAAATAAATAAGCAAAGGACTAATAGATAAACAGAATAGAGTAACCTAATAATGTTACCACTAAGAATCAAACCTAGACACACCAACAAGGAGGGAAAAAACTACACCACTAGACCAAGGATGCAAATGATGTTTGAGGGATGCCTTTATTTAGACTAGACCCCCCCCCCCCCCTATAGTGCTATTGTACCCTCCTACACCCTCCACGTGTACGGCATCCAAGGGGTGTCAACTTCCAATAGACACAAGTCCCATGTCGTTTTGTTATGCACCCACCTTGACTCCCCAACCATCCACCAACGCGCCACGTACTCGAGACACTTCCCCAACCCTGCGAAGAAGGTGGCAAGACAGACATGCTAACGGGTCCAGCTGTACGCCGCACCTTGGGGCGATGGACGAGCCGTCGCGGGCGTAGCGTTCCCCCTGCCGCGCGTGTTGCCGTGCGCGAGGGGCGAATGGCATGCATGCCGTCGTGCCCTCGCGTCTAGCTGCTTGAGTGGCGGCACAACCAGCTGCCACCCGGGGCACCTGGATGCATCTTCAAGGCGTTAGGGGCGTAACCGCCCCCCCGTGGGCACCTCGGCCTCGGGCAGCCGGCGGCGCCTTGGTGCCCCCCCTATCCTCCTTGCGTCGCCACCTCCCGCCTTGCACCACCAGTCCATTTGCCTTGCACTCATGTCTCTTGGGGTTGCCTTGCATTACCCTGCCCCCCTATCTTGGACTTCACTTTCTTGGGCCTAGCCCCAACAAACTAAAACACAGGCCTAGTATCTCATATCCCCATCAAGGTCAACGCACATTGTATTAAAAAGATCAAAATGTCTTTGTATTTAATGGAATTTCAATGATTTTGTTAATAGAGGACCAAATTAAAAATGATCATGTCACAATAATACAAGGACCAAAGAGAGATCTTCTGATAAAAAAAAAGAAGACAAAAATGGACTGTCACCTATAAATCTAGGACTGGTGTCGGTGTGGATTAACTTGATTTTCTTAGGATAGTTTAATTGTGTTGGGATGAATCCCGGATTTTTTCATTCTCAAGGGATGGCCGCTCGGAGTTACCCCTAAGTTGCTAATTTTGGAAAGCAAAGACATCGGTAATGTTTGCAAGCATGTCACCCGCACAGAATTGAATAACGTCGTAGTGAATCAACGAAATGAATGCTAACAAATGATGAACAAAATGATAAACAAGTAGGGTTGAATTGCTTAGTGTGGATGAAGATGCTTAAGGGATCATTTGACATAGGGAAAGAGGATGTCATTGCTAAGTCTAGGGAGTGGCTTACGTCCTTTCGTAACTTAGACTACTAGGACTTTGCTTAGGTTTTCACCTAAGCCTTTCCTCGAATACATTGCCTTCAACTCCTTCCGAACCAAGCCCGGTAGGGTTCCTTGAGCTAGGAAATGCTAAGGATAGGAGCTTGGATTGACCTAGCATAGGTCAATCCCTCAAACACTATAGGAGGTGATCAAGTTCCTAGGATCCATACAAGACAAACCTCAACAACAAGACATAGAAGCAATGTTATCAATCAATCCCTAATTTGAGAACTAAGTCATAGAAGCATCATTAGCACACACTTTCACAATCCAAACCCCAACTAGACTAGCCTACAATAAACATGAAAATCATAAAAGCATTCATAGATCTAACCCTATCAAAGCAAGTAGAAATAGAAAAGATTAGAAATTATACCCAAAAGTAGATTAGGAAAATGAAATCAAGTATTGCAAGATCTCTCGAAATGGAGTTTGTCAAGCTCTTCCTCCAATCAATCACTCAAGAAGCAAGCTTGGATCTATCAAATCTTCTCTATAAATGTGTTTTCTCTCTAATTCTAAATGCTAAGCTATCTATTTCTCTTTCTAAAATCGTGTATCTTTTACAAACCAGATCTAAAACACTTTAAATAGCCTCCCCTTTCATTTCCTTTCGCAGCCCCATCAACGCAGCCTCCAACGCCCGGACAACGCTGTCCGGGAACTTACTCTGCCCAATGTGCGTCACAACGCACGTTGTGCTGGACGTGGAAGTTTTTGGAATTCAGCCCTGTTTGTGTCTCTTCACAACGTGTGCTGCAGCGCACGTTGTGGACTCGTTGCTAGGTCCCGACTTGTATTCTTATCTCGCTTTCATTCCGGTTGTGCCACTTTGCCTCGTTTAAGCGTGAAACTTACCTAAAAACCTGTAAAACATAAAGTGTGGTGGTAATTTCAAATATAGTGCAAAATATAGCTAATTGGCACAATATTGCTACACAAAGGATTGCTTTTAGCCTAGAATTCACCATAAATGGACCTTAAAAGTGTGCGTCTTTGACACTTATCAAGGACCAAAATTGAAATTAACTTTAAAATTAATTAACATGTTTGGTATACCTGAACACATAAGAATTAATTGACTTTTAAAGATTTTCAAAGATTTTTAAAATGATGGATTTTAAATGACTTTTGTATAATCGTTTTAGAGTTTCTGGATCTTTTAAACTTTCATCAACTTTATACGAGTCTTTAAAAATCATTAGGATAAACATTTATAGACTTTTAAAAAGTTTTTCATATTAAAAAGTCTACAAAAGTCATTAAAACTCTAAATTTGATACACCCTTACAAATATTTCATAAATTCTATTAATACATTATTTATAATTTTCTTACAAAAATATATTTTTATAAATCATAAATAAATTAATGCATTGTAAAAAAATATAAAAAATAAATATTGATTGTCACAAATGTAGATTGAATTATACATACATTAAAAAAATATAATCAATTTTAACTATAAAATAAATGAGAATCTCTTAAAAAATTAATTTAACTTAACACAAATACATATATTAATATATTATATAATGAACATAGATTTAACACAAAAAAAAAATTGTTAATTATATCAAACTTTTGAGTTTAAAATTTAGGTCAATTTGGCTAGAAGATTTCTGCTGTGAGCTGCAGCAAATATCATATGGCTGCTGCTATTCGCATCAACTTCTTTTTGCTGCATGCATTAAAATATATGTATGAAAATATATAAAGAGATAAAAGTAAAAAGTATATGAGTATTTATAAAAGGTTTGAAACGCACCGTAAATTTGATAGGAATCCATAAAAAAACTGTTGGTCCCGGTAGGGTCAAAGAGAGTCTAGAGAGGGGGGTGGGGGGTGGGGTGAATAGACTCTAATCGATTCTTTTCGATTAACCTCCTTTCGGAGATATACGCAGCGGAGATAGTGTTTTGTTTTAAAATTTCTTTGCACACTTTCGTGTTAGTGAAAACTTAGCGTTTGGTCGATATGATATGATATGCAAAGCGCGAAAGTAAAGACGGAAAGTAAAGAGAGATGGACAGAGAGATTTTTACAGTGGTTCGGCCAACTGTGTCTACTCCACTCTTCTTTCACAACTTGTGAAACGGTTTGCACTATCACTCCTAGTACAAACTACTTCAAGTTGGCTTCCTTGATCACTAAGCCGGACAGCCACTTGAAAGGTTTTTCAACTCCTCGAGTTTACTCCGCCTCTATCAACTTCTTTCTAAGCTGAGATGTTGGAAAGGTAATCTGATGTTTCTCCAACAGGTTGAAGCTTGTCTTGACGTCTGAATTGATCTTCACTTGAGAAAATTACAAGACAGCTTCTAGTTGTGAAGTACGAAGATGAATATGCCCTTGAAAGACTTCACAACTAACACTGGTTATGAAAAGCTTTTGGAGATAAAACTGTTTGAAGAGCTTTTCTTAAGATTGCAAGAGTGAGTTAACCAGCACATTCTTCAATGGTGAAGAGAGGTATTTATAGGTGGAAAATCCATCCGTTGGAGGGAGATGAAAATTTCAAACCTAATAACCAGTGTGTATTACTTAGTGGGCATTGGACATTTAATGCACTTGTACTGTATAGCTGTTGGAGCCAAAAGCATTATGAGTTTTGTCCTTGATATCTGACAAGATGGTATAAGTCTTTTTAATGCCCCTTGTCTTTAGTGCAAATCATTCCTAGGACACTTTTTGTCCGAATGATTTGCCTGTCCTCATCTTTCGTCCTTCTTTCATAGACGAAGGTTCTTTTTGTAAAAGCAGTCTATCCGAGACTTGCTTTAATCCTTCTTTCGTCTGGAAGCATAATCTTTCGATCATCTTGTTGTTTTCAAATCTTCATGTAGACCTATTATGCTAGTCTCGTGCATGATTTAACATCTCATGCCTTTGTCATACGAGACTTAACGAAAAGCAGGGGTCTACATTCTAAGACAGTTTGATATCATCAAAATATAAATACACTTGTTCCTAACAAAAACTTATTTGGTTCAAATAGAGGAAAAAAGTTTGTAGAGAAAGTTGAAAAGTTTGGGGTTCGAGGGTTTAGATTTCATGTATTTATATTAGTGAAGAAAAAGTCTACAGAAATCCTATTATGATAGTCTATAAAAGTTAATAAGTTTTGGATACCATCAGACTTTTAAAGACTATAAAAGCTAGTCTGAATCGAATACTGTTATATTTTTAAAAAATTTGAAAAGTCTGAATTGAATACTGGTTGACTTTTGAAGAGTATTAAAAGTCTAAATTGAATACCACCAAACTTTTAAAATCATTAAAATCTTTAAAAGTTTATAAAAGTTTGGATTGAATACACCCTCTAAGATGTTTGGTTCATTTAAGCTTACCAATGAAATTTTTTAAAATTTCTAAATGAAATTTTTTAAAATTTCTAATATATCATTGCTATATACAAACATTACAAAGAAAAAAAGTATAATGAATTATTAAGAGTTTAATTATTAAATCATATGTCAAAAAAATTTCAATTTGCAACCAGGATTTTTTTTTTTTGTGACCTTGGGCATGTGCCCCTGGTTGTTACGCCTGGTGTCGCCTAAATCAAGGCCCGCCAGGTTGCAGCGTCTCGCAGCGCTTCTCAGGACAGCATGGGGAGCCGTAGACCCTGTAATCCTGTTCTGGGTTACTTCCCAGCGTACCAAGTTCTGCCAGGACCATTTTTTATTCAACAAATTCAACAATCCGAGCCATGATGGTTCAGGGGGCTCAACAATATTCTGACCCACGCTTGGGATAGGAATCAATCCCGGACCTTCCTTTTTGAAGGTCCATACCGGGTACCATCAGACCACAAGAGAGATGGTAGGATATTCAAAATTCAAAACAGTACGCATTTAAAAGAAAGTGTTAAAAAGACAAGTTTCTTCGATAAATATTGTTATCATTTGAAATGGTGGAAGTGGCAAATCTCTTATATTTAAATATAAAAATAAAATTTTTAACTTAGTGCTTAAAAAGAATAAATACGTAATTGAATAAACTTTGTACATTCGGGTCACCAGAGAACCCTATCTCGACAAGGTGTGATCTATGTTACTTGATATCATAAAATTAGATTCCAATTTTAGAGAGTATTTTTTTTAAAAGTAAATGTGCTATGATAAATTGGATTACAGTATTTTATAGATTTGTATATATATGAGCATGTTCACACTATAGCTAAATCGCTTTCAATTTTGTATTTGTTCACAGATAAAGACACCGATAGGCTTTGACAAAGTGATAGAGAAAGTAGAGGAGGCGGTAAACATGCTAGTCCAAACTGTAGGAGACAATGTCAACCTGGTTTCTCAAATTATGAAGTCTGAGATAGAGGACATGGCTTCTCAAATCAAAACATTTACTGAGAGCTTGGTGGAAGCTTGTAAGAGCCCACAGGCCAATGAACACCTTGTTTTGAGAATAATAGTAGCAAAATTCGGAACACTAGTGAATGAAGTCAGGGATGTGGTTGCCAACTACTTTGCGCAGGAGAAGAAGCATGGATTGGCAAAAGCTTTTGATAAGATTCGGTTTCGTGGAAAGCTCAATAATGTTGAGAGTGAGATCCAGTCCATTAAGGAAAAAGTGAAAACCATTTGCGAAGACCTCAAAGAAGTCCTTCGACACATCCGGGAGGACTACTACAACAAACATAGTGATCTGCCACCTCTCAAGGTACCACAAAAAATCTATTCCCAAATTATCATATTTCAAATTACTTGTTTCAATAATTACTATACAAGAACACATAATATTGGCTTACATCAATATGGAATTTACGTGCAAGTTGGGTAGACTTTAATATTTTTGTAAAGTGTATTGTGACATGCTTTCATAGAGAAAATATAGCAAGTTATTACACAGGAATGTATATGTTTATCCAAAGCACACCTTTGAGTAGTGCTTGCGGTTATCCCTCATCACCAAAATAAAAAATAAAAAAACAGTGAAATCTTGAGCTAGCTTGTCTGTGTGTGGTTATTTTAACATTTTAGAACCCAAAATTTTCTTTGTAAAAAGTGGTCTTAGTTAGTCCAAATAGTAAAGAAATCAAAGAAAATAAAGAAGAAATAAGAGGACTATCACAAGCAGTAAGTAATACTGGCAGTAAGACAAGTCTACAAAGAGTAGTAAGGGAAACTAACTTTAAGCATACAAAGAAGTGAGCAGCAAGGTAAAGATGGCGTAAGTCTTATGACAACATTCCGAGAATGATTAAGAAAACAATAAATCACTTGTTTATCCGGTTAAATTTATGTAGTGTTGACACGTGTTTTTTTATTATTTTTTTTAAACAAATTTTTATTTATTAAAAATTTAAAATATTATTTAAAAAAAAAAAAAAAAAAAAAAAAACAGCCACCGGATAAAAATCAAATGGATATTTAAAGCCACCACAACTTAAAATAAATTTGCCCTTAACAGCTTTCTTTTAAATTTGGCAGAATAGATTTTGGTAATTTTGACACAAGTTTTTTATTATTATATATTATTATTATTATTTCTTTTTTCTTCTCTTGGCTGATCAAGTTTCTATTCCAGACTATACATATAATTATATACGCACACACTTTCTTCCCAACTGATGACGAATTTGTTGAAAAAAGTGCTTGTATTCTGTAATATATTTAAGATACAACAAAAATAAAGAATAAAATGAGGGAACAATATCGAATCATTTGATATCTTCAGGCGTGTAATCACTTTCTTATAAGCTTTAAATCTCACTCTATAAAAGCAACAAGGTTCAAGATTTAATCTTATGGGATACGAGGAGATGAATGAAATTCTCAAGTTGCTTTGTTTGAGAATATATAAATTGATTTGATTTTATATTAAACTCATAGTAAATTAATTTAAATATAAAAAATCGCCAAATAAGATGCCATGTCATTCATCTTACATGCTTAACCTGAAAGCAACCGGCTAAGAATGCTATTTGCACAAATTTATAGGGTTGAATAATTTAATTGCACACTTTTTTTGTTTGATGGCCCAATTACATAAATACTAATAGTTCGATGGCCTATTTGACATTTTTTTTCAAAATTATTTAGTTATATTCCTCCAGTTATACTAATGATTGGGAGTGAATCACTCCCCCCGCCCTAATCACCCCACTTGATTAGTATTCATGATTTTTCAGGTTCGCCCAGAGTTACCCGTAAATAAGATAGTGGGCTTTAATGATGATTTGAAAAGTATAAAAACTCAGTTAATGGAAGCATCCAAAGATGTTTTCGTCATCCAAATTGTGGGGAATGCCGGGACAGGAAAAACTACATTTGCCTCAAAGATTTTTGAAGACCCGGAAATCCAAAAATATTTCACCCATTGCGTTTGGGTTCATGTTTCACGAGGGTTTCAAAGAAAGCAAAAATTTATTGACATTCTACATCAAATTTCCAAGCAAACAAAAGAGTTTAGCATGGCGTTAGAAGATGTGTTGGAAGCTATAAAGGAAATATTAAAGGATGAAAGATACTTGATTGTATTGGATGATGTGCGAGAAAAAGAAGACTGGGATTCTTTAAAAGTTGCATTCCCTACAAATTTAAAAGGGAGTAGAGTCCTGGTTACCACCTGGAGCGACAATAATGCAGTTGATTCTACCAGGAACTCTCATAGTTTAAGAAAGTTGAGCGATGATGATGGTTGGTTACTAATAAAAAATAATGTTTTTGGTACAATGGGATGGTGTGACACATCAATTAAAGACCTTGGGAGAAAAATAGCAGAAAAGTGCTATGGATTACCACACGCTCTAGTGCTGGTAGCTGGTATCCTACGCAATTATATAACTTTTAATGGTTGGCAACGAGTGGCTGATAATCTGCTTCAAGAAATTAACCGAGAAGACAAAAGCTACCAAGAGCTAGTAAAGTTGAGCTACAATGATTTGCCTGATGAAAATTTGAAAAATTGCTTCTTATATTTTGCATGTTTTCCCATGGGTCATGAGATTATTGCTTGGAAGTTAATTTGTTTATGGATTGCTGAAGGATTCATTCCAACTGAAGATGAGTGGGGATACCGTTTAGACGAAGAAGTTGAAGCTTCAAAATATTTGAATGTTCTTGTGGATAGAAATCTTGTAATGGTGAAAAAAAGAAGAGCAGATGGTAAAATCAAAACATGTTGCATTCATGACACATTGCATGAGTTCTGCAGAAGTGAAGCTGAAAGGGAAAATTTATTTCATGTAATGGATGAGGGACAAAGATTATATGCAAGAATTTATTTGGATCGTCTTTGTTCCTACTACAATGTGAACATATTTGATGTAGAAAACAGTAATCCATCTGATTCATTCTCCAATCTCTTTAACAAAAGGATGGGTCCACTTCAAGATGGTAAATGGGTTAATTCTTTGTTGTTGTCCTCCTCACAAAAGAGTGAGATTCATTCGACGCCAGAGCAGTTGGAAACCATCCTAAAAACCTTTAAATATCTTGAGGTGTTGAATATTGAATCCCTCAAATTTAGCTCGCTGCCAAATGAGCTTTATTCCGAAGACAGTTGGATCAAGTATCTTGCAATCACAGTTGATATCAGTTCCCTCCCCAAGTCGTTCGAACATCTTTCATATTTGGAAACTCTAGTGATCAAAACCACAGAAAGGGCGCTACAAATTAATGGAGGCATATGGAACATGGAAGAACTAAGGCATGTCTACACCAACACCTCTACGCAACTACCCTCTCCTCCCAAAACAGGCAAGCATGACCGTAAACAAACCGATATCCGCACACTTTCTACCATATCACCAGCAAGTTGCACAAATGAGATCTTCAACATGACCCCCAAACTCCAAAAGTTAGGTGTTCGCGGGGATTTATCAGAACTACTTCTCGAGAAAAAGCAAAATGTTTGCTTGTTCAACAATCTTCAAATGCTAGAATGCCTTGAAAACTTGAAGCTTCATGGCAACTCTGATGAGAAAGTAAAGTTGAAGGTCCCAATGTCCAATAAGTTTCCAAGAAGACTAAGAAAGTTGACCTTGTCTGGTACATTGTTTCAGTGGAATGACATAACTGTATTGGGAGGCCTGGAACAGCTTGTGGTGCTCAAGTTGGATGACAATGCGTTCTCAGGGAAACATTGGAATTTAAGCAGTGATGTTATTTTCAAAGAGCTTCTGTATTTCCGCATTGGTAAGATGAACCTCATAACTTGGACAGCTGTGGACTCAAAGAAAAGCTTTCCAGTTCTTGAAAGCCTGGTTCTCAGGAATTGTATTTCCTTACAAAATATTCCGCATGATTTTACTAATGTGGACAGTCTTAAAGTGATGGAACTATTTGATGTGAGTGAAATGGTAGCTGATTTTGCAAGAAAGATTTGTGTGAAAAGGCATAGCAAAACAAATGTCAAAATCAATGGATTCGACCAACCCAGCACCTCTATTCGGTCACAAGAAATGGTAAGCATATTGTCCCAGCCTTTTCTATTGGATGAAATTGTCTCTAACTTTTTGCATGTTTTGAAAATTTATAACAGTAATTGTAATTTTATTTTTTGGAAATTTTTAAATTTTTCTCCTTTTTTTTTTTCTTCTAAAATTATACAGTAAAGATCAATTTCATATTATTTTTAAATTCCCATACAACGTGAAATTGTAAGCTATGCTAAAATTTCATAAATTTGTACTCATACAACAAAACAAAAAAAAAAAGTAGAAGAGAAGATATTACAAACAAAGAATATTGTCATTTAAACTATTTTTAGATAGCAAAATTACTATATGGATAGAAGTATGGATTGAAATTTTATAACATTGTAACTTCTATTAAATTTATGTTTTGATGGTGAGATTATTTGAGAGAATGAGTGGAAGATACGCCAACAGAAGTTGCAAAGCATGTTAATTATTTAGTAGATAATGAATCGTGAATTACTAGAAAGTTTGCTCAATATTTTTATTTAAAAAAAAAAAAAACTTTTGATTTAATTGAAGTGATAGAAAAGAAAGTGAATCTATATTAATCATGTACAGGTAAATAACCAAGCTACCCAAGCACATGGGGATGAACATGTCAACACCAGTGGATTCAACCAACCCAGCACCTCTACTTCATCACAAAAAATCGTAAGTATATTGTTTTAGGCCCTGTTTGGTAAATAGTTGTTAGCTGTTAGCTGATTGTGTTAATTAGAGAGTATAAAAAATGATAATATATATTAGCTGATTGTAGAAAAGTGTTTGGTAAATTAGCTGTTAACTGATAGCTGTTTGGTATAATTTCTTTTATGAAAAAACTAATTGAAAAAGTTGCTTGGAGTAGTTTTTTTAATTTTAGCATTTTGAAGTTGCAAAAAGCTAATTAACCAAACATTTATATTGATATTTAACTACATCAAACAATTAATAGTGGTCAAATAAGTCAAAATTGACCTATATGCCAATTTTTTACCAAACAGGGCATTAGCCTTTTTAACCATACAACATAACCTTTAGGGAGATTTGAATTTGGAAGTGCGTATACATACATTAGATGTAAATTATATGAGATTGATGTTTTGTGGTGATATTATTTGAGGGAATAAATGATGTATGAGTATATATGCCAACATAGGTTGCAAAGTTTGTTAATTATTTACCAGGTAAAGAATTGTTTTTTTTTTGAAATCAGGTAAAGAATTGTTAATTATTTGAAAGTTGGTGTAATATTGAAAAAAAAAATGTTTTAAAGTTGAAGCCAACAACAAGATTCTAAGTGGAATTTTAAGAGAGAGATGTCTTTTGGCGTTCTTGATTTGATCCGTTCATTTATGTGCAACTTATGTTAGTTTATCTATTATTTATGATCCTTAAAGTAATACTCCAGTAGAAGAAGAGTTTGAATTGTTTTCTCGTTAAATATATTATTCTTACATGTACATAAGCAATCAAAAGGGAAGGAAAAGGTCAACATCAGTGAATCCGATCACCCTAACATCTCTACTTCATCACAAGGAATCGTAAGTATATTGGCTTGGCCTTTTTTGTAACGTTTTCCCTATATTGTTATTATTATTATTAAGTCTATTATTATATAATAACAATAGTAATTTAAGTGGTGCAAATCAATAGGCTGACTAAGTATTAGAACTTAGTCAGCATTAGGTAATTGGTTACCTACATTGATGGGATGTAGGTTATTTAGACCCCTAAGTCCTCTCACTGCTCGGTTGACGTATCATACACCTATCTAGAGTCACTGAGAGAAGTGAGAGAAACATAACTGAAACTTACGCAGATTCTACAGCAGCCCGAGGAACTTCTGCAACGAGTCCCTGGTGATCAAGAATCAAAGCTATGGCTGGAGGTTGGTGATCCTAACTCTTTTCCTTAGCCACGTATTTACTGTTTATAACGTGGATTATGTGCTTACATTTGGTATCAGATCCAATTTTATCTCTGCCTAGCCTTGTTTAAATTGCACAATTCAGTTTTTTTTTACATATGCTATATTTTCATGTATAATTTAGAATATGTATGCTCTGTGCAATTGTGTTGGGCTGCTGGAAAATTGTGTATTCTTTTTCCGCATTTAGTTAAAAAAAAAAAAAAAAAATTTCCCAGTTTTTCTCCCGTAAACTGCTTTGCGCCTTTTTTTCCCTGTTCGCTGGTTTCTTCCCTGTCGCCGGCCAGGGGAGTGCTCGCCGGATTCCGTTTGCCGGCGAGGCACGCCCCTCTGGTGGCGCTGGCCGACCCCGTCAAGGACGGCGGTGGTGGCGGCACTGGGTTGCTCCCGATAGTGTCGCCACCAACTGCCTCCTTCAATGGCGCGGTGGTGGCCGGCGGCAGAGACAGGGCGAGGCGTGGCGGCAGGGCGCGGTGGCGGTCCGGAGGTGGTGGTGGAGCCGGGTGCTCCTGGCCTCTCCATCTCCGTTTTTTTGGTTTGTTTTGTTTTTCCGCTCCGCCTCTTCTGTAAGCAGGCAACGCAGATGAAGAAGATGATGACACTTGGTTTTTGGGCCGGGTCTGGCCCAATTCGGCCAGACCTAGGCTCCAAAAAAAAAAAAAAAAAAAATTTTTTTGGCTTTGGGCTTGCCAGAAATTTGGGCCTAAAATTTTTTTTGGGCTTGCAGGAATTTTTTTTTTCTTTTTTCTCTTCATCATATTTAGCTTCTTCTTAAGGGTTTTATTCATATGGTTTTTTTTTACCTAAAGTTAATATTAAATTATAATTCTTGATCAAATTATTCTGTCTCAATTTGTTGGAATTCTGTTTCATATAAACCGCGTTCCTAAATGGTGATCTAGAAGAGGAAGTTTATATGAAACAACCTGAAGGTTTCTCTTCTAGAGGGGGTGAGGATTTGGTGTGTAGGCTTAGGAAGTCCATATACGGTTTGAAACAAGCCTCCCGTCAGTGGTATATTAAATTTGACGGGGTCATTTCATCATTTGGTTTTGTTGAAAGTCCCTTAGATCCTTGTATATACCAGAAAGTTAGTGGGAGTAAAATATGTTACCTTGTTTTATATGTGGATGATATCCTACTCGCCACTAATGAGGTGGGGATGCTTCGTGACGTGAAACAGTTCCTTTCCAAAAATTTTGATATGAAAGATATGGGTGAAGCATCTTATGTCATTGGCATAAAGATTCATAGGGATAGGTCCCGGGGTATACTGGGTCTATCGCAGGAAACCTATATTAACAAAGTTTTGGAGAGATTTCGGATGCAAAATTGTTCACCGAATGTTGCTCCCATCGCAAAAGGGGATAAGTTTAGTTTGGACCAATGTCCTAAGAATAACTTGGAAAAGGAGCGTATGAAAGATATTCCATATGCTGAAGCGGTTGGATGTCTTGGCTATATTCAAGTTTGTACAAGGCCTGACATTGCCTTTGCCGTCGGTATGTTGGGGCGGTACTTGCATAATCCGGGCATGGATCACTGGGGAGCTGTGAAGAGAGCTCTAAGGTATCTCAAAGGTACTATAGATTTCAAGTTGGGTTTTAGGCAGACAGACATCCTGGATGTTGTTGGTTATTCTGATGCGGACTTCGCTGGCTGTGTTGATTCTCGGAGGTCAACTTCCGGGTACGTCTTCATATTGGCCGGTGGGGCTATTTCATGGAGAAGTGTTAACCAATCCTTAATAACTACTTCTACCATGGAAACCGAGTTCGTGTCCTGTTTCGAGGCTACTTCGCAAGGTGTGTGGCTCAAGAATTTCATCTCTGGACTTAGAATTGTGGATTCTATATCTAAGCCACTTAAAGTTTATTGTGACAACTTAGCTGCAGTCTTCCTAGCTAAGAACGAAAAATGTGGGAGTCGAAGTAAACACATCGACATCAAGTTCTTAGCCATTAGGGAGCGTGTCAAGAATAAAGTTGTATTCATTGAACACATTAATACTGAGTTGATGCTAGCAGATCCCTTTACTAAAGGCATGCCTCCATTTAAATTTAAGGATCTGATTAAGAAAATAGGACTTTCGTCCTCTTTGTAATTTGTATATGCATTCAGTTGAATAATGAAATTCTTTTGCACTTCAGTTTTTCAGATACTTCAGATGTTTTCTTTGAGTGTGTACACAATTCAGTTTATCTCAATAAGGAAACATACTTCAGTGGACTTGAAATGAACATATGGTTTGTTTCATTAAAGTTTGATTACCTAAAGTACTCAAAGGCAATTTGCATTTGATCATAATGGATATTACTTGCGCTAAGGATGACATATAATTATGGTTGGTGTAAATCCTGTTTTTGAGTTCCGCATTTGCACCAAGTGGGAGAATGTAACGTTTTCCCTATATTGTTATTATTATTATTAAGTCTATTATTATATAATAACAATAGTAATTTAAGTGGTGCAAATCAATAGGCTGACTAAGTATTAGAACTTAGTCAGCATTAGGTAATTGGTTACCTACATTGATGGGATGTAGGTTATTTAGACCCCTAAGTCCTCTCACTGCTCGGTTGACGTATCATACACCTATCTAGAGTCACTGAGAGAAGTGAGAGAAACATAACTGAAACTTACGCAGATTCTACAGCAGCCCGAGGAACTTCTGCAACGAGTCCCTGGTGATCAAGAATCAAAGCTATGGCTGGAGGTTGGTGATCCTAACTCTTTTCCTTAGCCACGTATTTACTGTTTATAACGTGGATTATGTGCTTACATTTTTAACAATACAACATAACCTTTAGGAGATTTGAATTCCAAAGTGCGTATAACATACATTAGATGTAAATTATACGAGATTGATGTTTTGTGGTGACATTGTTTGAGGAAATAATTGATATATGTCAGCAGAGGATGCAAAATATGTTAATTATGTAGCAAATAAATTAAAGAATCGTGAATTACTAGAAAATTTGTTTTTGTTTTCTTTTCAAAAGACCTTTTGATTTAATTGAATGATTGGAGAAGAATTTAGAAATTTTTTATTTCAATTAATATATTATTCCTACAGGTACATAAGAAATCATAAGGTAAGGAAATTAAATAACTTTATGGATTCTTATATTTAAACAATTTTCTTTTCAACATAAAGTCCACAAAAATATTATATATTGGATTATATTAAATAAATAGATCTTCAAGGCTCTATCACATTGTAGTATCTGTTCATATAATTTCTCAACCTACTAAAATACAAAGAACCAACGCCCCCACTGAGGCTTGAACTCATAATCTTCCAAATAAAAGTCCAAACCAGGTACCATTAGACCACATAGTTCTAATGAATAGAAATATTTTCTATTATATGAAATTGTCTCTAAGTTTTTGAATATATGTTTTGAACATTTATAACATGAATTGTAAGTTTTAATTATGGAGTATTGTACGTGAGCATATAACCATTAATGTGCAATCCAACTATTAGCTTAGGTTTTTAGTTGAGATGGAGCACATGCTTCAATTTGTTATCGGCCATGGGTTAGAACCTCCACGTTCTCGCACACGTGTGAGCAGAGTTTTAGTTGAGATGGAGCACATGCTTCAGTTAGTATTATATTTATGTTTTGACTGAGAGAAAAAATTGATATATATGCCAACCTAACATAGGTTACGTGTTGCTTGGAATCCTGCACACGTGTGAGCAGAGTTTTAGTTGAGATGGAGCACATGTTTCAGTTAGTATTATATTTATGTTTTGATCGAGAGAAAAAAATGATATATATGCCAACCTAACATAGGTTCCAAATTATGTTAATTATTTACAAGATAAAGAATTGTTAATTACTAGAAAGTTTTTGTAATATTAAAAGAAATTATTTTAAAGTTAGTCATGTGGTTAATTTGATTACTACAAGGCTTCAAGTTTGATTTTCAGTGGGAGACACCCATTAGCCATCTTGATTTGATCCGTTTAGAACTATATGTTCATAATTATGTTCACAACTTTATGTTCATAATAATAGAACTATATATTCATAATTATGAACAGTTTTAGAATTGTACGGTTCCACAACATAATTTGCCAGCTCTGATACCAAATTGAAACATGTGATTCATCTCAACTAAAAGTCTAAGTTGATAGTTAGATTGCGCATTTATGTTTATATATGTTATATGCTCAAAAAGGTAGAAGTATTTTCCAGAGACTAAAATTGTCTAAGTTTTTGTATGTTTTGAAATTTTATAACATTGTAAGTTCTATTAAATTTCTGTTTTGATGGTGAGATTATTTGAGAGAATGAGTGAAAGATGCACCAACAGGCAAAGCTTGTTAATTATTTAGTATATAATGAATCGTGAATTACTAGAAAGTTTGCTCAATATATTTTTTTTTTTTTTTGTTTTTAAAAGAACTTTTTATTTAATTGAAGTGTAGAAGAAGAAAGTGAATTTATATTAATCCTGTACAGGTAAATAATCAAGTGGATGACAATGTTGCTAGTTATGAGGATGAAAATGTCAATACCAGTGGATTCCACCAACTCAGCACCTCTACTTCATCACAAAAAATCGTAAGTATATTATCTTGACTTTTTTGACCATACAACATAACCTTTTTTTGAATTCCATAGTGCGTATAAAATTTTTGTAAATTATAGGAGATTGATGTTTTGTTGTGATATTGTTTGAGGAAATAAGTGATATATATGTCAGGGGAGGGTGCAAAATATGTTAATTATGTAGCAAATAAAGAATCATGAATTAATAGAAAATTTGATTTTTGTTTTCTTTTCAAAAGACCTTTTGATTTAATTGACTGATAGGAGAAAATTTTAGAACATTTTTCTTTGAATATATTATTCCTACAGGTACATAAGAAATCATATGGTAAGGAAATTAAATAACTGTATGGATTCTTATATTTAAACAATTTTCTTTTCAAGATAAAGTCCACAAAAATATTAGATATTGGATTGGGTTAT